GTGATAGGGAAACGCTAGTAGGACGGCGTTGTGACAAGGCAAGCGCTCTACGTTAGAAAAGGATAGGAATACGCAGAGGTGTGCTGTTCGCGTGCCTGGTTGAATTTGCATATTGCACAGAGTCGGATTTGATTTGGATATACGATCTAGCGTACGACTGTTTCCCTATTTTGGCGCATAGTATACTCAGCCCTTATTACTCTTATTACCGTTATTGTATTGTTGTATTATCGTTTTGTTACTGTTGTGTTGTTATTGTTGAGTGTCTTTCTTATCAAGGTATCAAAAATGAACAATAAGAGAAATAAACGTGGCGTCTCGAAGAAGCCGCATTTAAATACGCACAGGAAAAAAAACGTTTTCCAGATAGAAAGGTAGGTACCAAAACAATTATGAATTTTAGCATTCATTTTGCCAATAAATTAGACTATACGTAGTTACTATTATAACTATATTTTATATGTTATTTTAGCTTAAAAATGACAGCAAGGTTTCGCAGATGCATTCTCTAACAGAGACAGATGACATGGATCTTCAAATTCAGGTGTGTATACCCTTTTTTTTTAGATTTGCACCAGAGGCTGATATCATTTCTGGCAATTCTGATTAAAATGCAGTAAGTTTACTTCATGAAGTCGATAATAGTATTGTAGAGCAGTTTAACTCAATCATAGCTAAATTCATTGGGGGTAAACGGATTAATTATTGCAAGAAGAGATCCTACCAAGGAAGATGTGCTGCAGCCGTAGTGAGCCACAATACACAGCGACCTGTTTGTGTGATCCAAAAGCGGCTACTCCCTAGTTTCAGTCCAACCTCCTTGATTGCTAAAGTTGAAGAAAGGAGAGCGCACAAAAATCTGAAAAGGAAGCTGAAACCAAGGAAAATTAAAATCAGAGATAGTGATACTAAAGAGAACGCATCCTATGGGGAATTCTGTGAGAAGCCTGACATGAGCAACGAAGATCTAGAGGCTGCCAAGGTAGAATTCTTGAAAAAACTTGCAAAAACCGACTCCAAAATTTCCCAGATCGAGCAAGCCACAAAATCTCAGGATTGCAATTTGTGGCGTCTTCATCGAAGAATGAGGTTGACTGCGTCTCGGTTTGGTGAGGTTTGTAGAAGAAGAGATACAACAAGTTGCAGAGCTCTAGTAAACGCCATAATATACCCAACCGAATTCTTTAGCAATGCATGTGACTATAAAAAAAAGCATGAAAGCGTGGCAAAGGCAGAAATAGAGAAATCATATTCGCAATCATAAGTACAATCTTGCGGGTTGTTTATTGATAGGACCCATCCATTTCTGGCAGCATCGCCAGATGGTTTGATAGGCGAAAAAGGTCTGCTAGAAATTAAATGTCCATGGTCGGCTAGAGAAATGACCCCTGAAGAGGGCATTCTGAACAAAAAAATTACGTTTTGGATAAACGATGAAATAAATAAAAAAACATAAGTGGTATTACCAAATTCAAGGGCAGCTACACGTTGCACAGAGAGAGTACTGTGTGATTGGTGTTTGGACCCCGTATGGTTTGAAAATAGCCGTCATTCAAAAGGATGACGTTTTCTGGAAAAATGAAATGGGAGAGAAATTGAAATTCTTCTACATGAACTGCTTGCTCCCAGAACTGGTCGATCCCAGGAAAAGCAGAAATATGCCAATCCGCGATCCCGATGTGATCTTGAAGGCACAAGAGAACCGTTTGAACAAGAAAAAGAGTTCTTGAGAATTGGCTATTTTTGCTGTACTCGGGTACCAAAATGGAAGAGATTAGCATATTACATTGTACGCCGTTACTAACCCCTTCGTGTCGGCAAATGCGGTGTGCAGATCTCGCTTTAGCAGCGATGTGCGAGATGTTATCCATTTTGGTACTAGTACTAGATGTTCACTATTTATTGTATATTATGTATATATTGTTTATTTAAATAAAAGTCAATCGTCAGGCTCAATAGCACGTAGCATCGGCTAGCTTTATCTAGTCAGTTAGATGGCGAATATTGAAATGTCACATTGACACGTTAAGCGCCACAGTAGAATCTGAAAATCCAGTCCACTAGGCCAAACTGTTATTATTGTCAAATTAGCTTGTTTTAAGTTTCGGTTTAATATTTTGACTTGACTTTCTTCTCAAATCCTATGATTTTTCCCCTTTTTTGATTTTTTTTCTGAGGTACTAGTTGTATGTCGCGTGGCCCACAGACCAGTCGGGTCGCGTGGCACATAAGTCGCGTCGCGTTTTTTGCAAGTCAAGACTTGCATCATGTCGCGCGTTGAGCACTGTTTCGTGTCATTTATTATTGAAGCGTTGTTGGTATTGTACGTCAACTTGTCCAAATTGCTTTACTGTTTATAAATTATTGAATACCAAATTTGTGATGTCGCATTACGAAGCGGAGCAAAAAAGGCTTGAACAATTGTGTAATGAAATATTTACTATCGGATGAAGTGAGTGGCAGTACTGAGTTATGTGGGGATGTATACTTATCTGATGCGTATTCTCCAAGTGGTAGTGAATCAGATAGTAGTTGTAGTAATTCCATATTTATCTGTATTACTGTTTATTTATACCGGTATTTTGTTTATTCCTGCATAAGACTTTGTCAATCTGTTTAGTTTATAAGAGTTCCTCCATATTTGTGTTCGTTAGAATATCGACATTTACCATAACTTACTGATTTGCTGTGAAATTACTTTGTTCATTTTTGAATGAGAATGTCTGATTATTTTATATGATTTGCTTTTTGTTTTAGATTTGTAGAATATCCTCTTTTTGTAAAACTCCATAAACAACGTGTTTTTTAATGTTTTCATTTCCAATTCAGTATAATGTGGTCCCTCAGGCCACGGACTCTTGGTTCCCGTAAGAAAATCACATCAGCATGGCACACGTCTTAAGTTACGCGGCCAAATATAACTGCCAGCAGTGAGGCATATCATGTGTGTCATGAGGCCCAAAGCGCCAAATGAGGTGCGACACACGCATTATATCTCATGACGCTTATCGTGTTAAGTTTATTTTACGATACTCCATAAGGTTAAAGCTAAACAGCAAGTGACATTTTATTTGTGTTAAATGCGTTCACTATAATTATTATTTTTAACTAAAAAGATTACCGCCTCCAATGACCCTGGAACCACCTGGAAACTTTTGGTCACAAAGTTCTGTATTTTACCACACATGTCAAGACTTTTCATTTGATATGTAAATTGGGGGTTTTGTACAAAAATATGTCACTCGCAATTTCGAAACGGCGGCAATCTTGGAATCAAATTTTTATTGAAGTACTGTATTCTACAAGGCGACGACTCTTATTTGAGATATTAGCAATTATGTTATCCGCCATTTTGTAACGGCCGCCATCTTGATTTGAAACTGTTTTCGTATTACTGTTTTGTACAAGTGCTTCCATTTGATATCCATATTGGGGTGATTGAACAAAAATGATTTTTTGTGGTATCACCTCTGAAGCAGGGCCTATTGTATAAAAAGAAATGATCAAAATCGATTAAAAATTTCCCCTCTTTCATTGAAGTCTATTAAAAATATCACTTACTGGTCCGATGTTTATCTCGAACGACCGACTGTTTAACTTGGGACAACAAATTATCTGAATACGTCCTTTCTTAGTCCGTACACACCGCCGCGTTGCTTCGACTGGCAGCACGAGATAGTGGATAAAATTCGTGTAAAAGCCTATTTGCAGAGGTTTTCGCGCTTCAAAATTGACGCTTCATTTTTGAATATTTTTCAATGAAATTTTCACAGTGCACTAAAAACAAGACTCCACAGGGTCCTATAGAGCCACTTTTTCGTTTTTTCCTCTGGGTTATTTTTAAAAAAATCGAGAAGTCGAACAACAATTATCTGCACTTCCACCCACCATAACTCCTGAAAAAATTTTTTTTTTAGAAAAGTGGCTCTATAGCACCATGGGTGCAATTGTCTTCTGAAAATACTTTATAAATTTTATTCAAATATCGTATATAGAAAAATGGAGCCTCAATTCCGAAGCAGCTAAACCCTTGTAAATGGCCTGAAACTCACTGCGTCGGAGCCGCCTTAAGAGAAAAAATTTGTAAAATGGAATGATATTTTACAGTCATTTCTTTTCTGTGAAAATGCCACTGGCGTACTTCCCACTAGGGATCCAGGTACCGCAGTTTCTACGTCCCTGGTCAAGTATGGGCCAGGATACTCTGTGTGCTTAATACTTATGACGTGCTCACTGAACGGCTAAAATCTTAACACAGTACATTTACCCGCTCCGTAGATACATTTTTTTCAATTTCGTAAATAACACTTCATCACCCTGTATCGCGGTACGGGAGCATCTTTGAACCCATATTTATAGGAACTTTTTTTTTATTTTTTAATGTACCTTCTACCCCTGAAACACCCTATATAAATATACTTCCCTGCGGATATAGGACGCTACCGGTAATGAATTTTCCTCAAACAACTTTTATAAGTCAATGGAGAATTTAATCAAATTTTGAAAGCTCAATAACTACATGGGTTTTCACATGATACTTGGATAGGCCGCCAGGGACGTACTAACCTCAACACAATACTGCAAAAATTTAATGCTCCAACATTAACATTTCTGAAAAGCCTGACCTTTAAGCTGCAATAATGTGTTTTTGTTTGATATCAATAAAATTAACCATTTTTTTGAGAAAAACAATCTTGTTTTAGAACATTTCTGTTAATTTTGGAACTGGGCCCAGTCACGCCATTTTGGAAACATAGTAATTCTGATAACATATTCATAATAAGCTTTTCAAAACATCACATTTTTTCTCCTAAGCACTAAATCTTTGACTAGCGTATTCCACAGGTAGGATGCATGGTTAAACCCAACAAAATCTGTATAGGGCAGCCATAGCTTTTTGTGGCCCAATTTTAATGTTGATTTAATTTAAGACCTTTTAGAGCTTTTTAGGCAATGTGTATAACTTTCTTACAAATGGGGACAAAATAATATACAAAAGATTATGGAAATACATTTTTATTAATATATAATAAAAAGTTTAGACATCTCCTAGTAAAATCAACCTAAACAAATACAATAACATTCATTCATAAAAATGGGCTTTAAAAAAATAACATCAAAATATAAAACAAACAAATGACTTTATTCATATTAACACAGAATCTCTGGTGATTTATTAAGCTTAAAAAAATTGTGCTTAGCTTACAATTGAGTGTTAAGATTATTTCAAATATCAATTCATACAGCTACGTGACTTAAAGTTATTTTAAATCCTTTATGGTGTTTATAAAATCGAAAAATTTTTGTCAGTCACCGGATTTGTTATGTATGACCTGTAAAAAACAACTCAACTTACAAATCAGAGCGTGAATAACAAGTATTAAAAATTAATAAACGCTCGACACGAAACGGTTGTAAAAATTTGTTGTATCATAAGAACAATCTTGATTCGTCAACATCTCAAATAAAAAGAAAACTGTGCTCATCATTTCAAAAAAAGCCGAACTACCAAAAACATTAACTAAATTTCAGTAAACAAAGCAAAAAAAATTAACACAAAATCAAGATCTTAACATGCAGGTATGCGTCATGCTTCAACTGACAAAAAACTTGTGAATCAAACCACATTTTCATTCCTGAATATTCAATCTTACCCATTATTCACTCAGGACCGGTAGCATGGATCGGAAAAAACAAATATTATTAGCATAATTTATAAATATGGCTCTTTAGGCGAGTATTGAAATGACAAATATTCTGTTTTAGGCGGAGGTTGCAAGATATTTGAGGTAAATAAATGATACAACTGATAATATTCTTATACGAGGGATGTCTTTTAAGTTTTGCATATAGAAACATAGTAGGCCGCGCGGATCGAACGTCAGTACTGAATCTTAACCTCACTCTTTAGTAAACTTAAATTCAAAGTTTCACAACAATACGTGCAGTTTTATCACTACAGTGAATTTTTAAGTGTCACCAAGTCATTAGAAAAATGGAACTCAACCGAGAACATTTTCGCGCCATAATTTATTACAACTTTCAGAGACAATTATCGCAACAAGAATGCCTTGCTGAGTTACTATCTGTTTTTGGCAACGAAGCGCCACATGAGTCGACAATTTCCCGTTGTTATGGAGAATTCAAACGTGGACGGGTGAGTCTTAGCGACGATCCCAGGGTGGGTGCACCAAAAACGGCAGTCACCCAGGAAAACGTCGATGCTGTGCGCAAACTCATCATTGAAGATAGACATGTGACATATCGCGCGATTGAGGCGTCCTTGAAGATCTCAAAGAAGAATTAGGAGTAAGAAAATTGGTTTCTCGTTGGATACCCCACCTGTTGACTGAAGAGCAGAAAGCGGCCAGGGTTAATTGGTGTCAAAAAACGCTTGACCGTTTCAATTCCGGAAACTCAAAAAATGTGTGCAGCATTGTTAGTAGTGATGAATCGTGGATTTACTGTTATGAACCAGAAAATAAACGACAGTCGGCTGTTTCGGTGTTCCAAGGTGAAGAAAAGTCAACAAAAGTCATCCGTTCTCGAAGTATTTCGAAAAAGATGGTCGCGACATTTGTGTCAAAAACGGGTCATATTGCAACAATTCCTCTTAATGAGCAAAGAACTGTTACTGCGGATTGGTATACCACCATTGGTTTGTCAAAAGTCATCACCGAGCTTCGAAAAATCAACCCCGAAAGAAGAATCATCCTACACCAAGACACTGCAAGCTCGCACACAGCTCAAAAAACAAGGCAGTATTTAACGGAAGAAAACGTGAAATTATGGAACCATCCTCCATATAGTCCCGATCTAAGTCCTAACGATTTCTTTACTTTTCCGAAAATTAAAAACAGGATGCGTGGTCAAAGGTTCCATTCACCAGAAGAAGAAGCAGTTGACGCATTCAAAAATGCCGTTTGGGATCTGCCAGCAAACGAGTGGAATAAGTGCTTGGAAAATTGGTTCGAGCGCTTGCAGATGTGTATAGATCTTCGTGAAGAATACTTCGAAAAACAATATAGTCCTTTAAAACTACCTACCTTGTTGTTTTATTTCCATATGCAAAACTTAAAAGACATCCCTCGTAATACTAAACTAAATTGTGTAATTTTTCGCGTAGGGCCCTAAAAGCTTATCAGCTAGGGGACAACTTACAGGTTATATAAATAACTTCTTTTTTCATTACGTCCAGCACGCAAAATTAGCATTGCGGGCATGCTGAATGGGAAGAGCTCAAAGACTTTCCCTCCGGTTGTCCTTGGAGAGACTATCGTTTTGCTGTTTTGGCTGCGTCAGCTGTCTGTTCTTCAATAGCGGAAGTTTTTCACGTAGAGATGGATGAATACATCCCCTATATAGTGAAAGTGCCAAAATCAAGGTCTAACGGCTGGTTCAACAGATCGTTGACACTGCTTGTCGACAGAAAAGAAGAGAGGCACACCAAAGCTTCTTGGAAAACTCCACTATAGAGAAGATACAAGCCGATTTCGAGTCTAGAAACAAATATAACGAAACTGTTCCCAGCGCGATGCAAAAAAATCAGGCGTAGGGTAATGTCGGTAAACGGTCTAAGGCGGACCCTTACAACTAAAGAAGTAAAGCTCTGCTTTCTGTTATCAGCAAGGTGATGGAAACTGGCATCAATACGGAGCATCTAGAGTACTCCGAACATCACGGCTTGATTAACGACAGGCACTATCGTTTCCGATACCAGCGATCAAAGAGAAACCCCACACAACTATAGAGAAATCTCATCAGGTCTTATGACGGTGCTCTTGACATCAAACAAGCTTTCCATCAGCAGGGAAGCTTTGCAGATGGGTGATGACTTCCTCTCCCGCTGCAAGATATCCGTAATAATTTTCAGTTTCTCCTCTTCGTCCCACAACATCAGCGCGGGTGCTCCCCAGGGATCGGTCTTGGCCCCAACAATGTTTGAATGAGACTTCTTGAACGGTCAGTCTCAAGACCGTTTCTATTCTACCCGTATGTCAGCAGTCGCGGTATCCCATTATAGAAAAGTCATTCAGTTTGCATAATGTCATTTATAAAACATGTATGTTGCCGCCAGCAGATTAGCGTTCCGGGCCCTATACGGGAAATTGAGCGATTAATGCCATTGTTCACAATGGTCGAAATTTTTATATTTTGTTGAGATCAATATCCAATCTTTTTTCACGTCAGCAATAGTATAAAACACATATTTTTTGATTTAGCAGTCGCGAAGGCTAGGCCTTGGCCTAAATATGAAAATACTTTGTTTTTCTCACAAACCCTTACAAGATCAGCAAACGGCTATAATGCATCAGTTATAAGCCCGGATTTCTGTAGGTGCATGTATTATAATATCTGATTCCTGAGTTTTTACTTACAATTCTACACTATGTATTGTCGATGTGGGGCAACTGTCGTTCACTTTCACGTGGCAGTGTTTATGACATTTTATTTGACAATCTCTGCATTCATAACCTTGCTTTCCAAACCTACGCGCTATGCTCTTCTGGCATACCTGACATGCTGTGCCACTGAAATAAAGACATGTGAATTACAATTAGGCTATTTTCTAAAAAAAATATTTTGACGAAATGTTAATATTTTGCCCACAAAAGGTATACTTTATGTTTCCGCTTTATTCTATGAACATGAACTTGCACTCCCACTTTGTTTATTGACATGTCAGAAGCTCTAACTCATTCCCAAAAATGCGTGAAAATAAAAAACAAACGAACCATCACCTGGAAGACAGATAAATCAAATAAATGTCTACATTAAAGAAAATCTGTCAATACATGTGGTTTTATTGGCCAGACAAGCATGGGGGATTATCGACATGAAAACCACAGGGTAAGTTTCTGACGTAACTTTAGTGAGAATAATTTATTCCGATTAACGGTCAGTTGTCAAGAACTGCTGCCAAACATTAAAAAATAATAATCATAAAATTCCTATTTCTGCATTCTGAGGATTTTTCCCATCTAAGTCCAACTAGTGTGTTAACTATTTTTCCAGGATTCAAACAAAAGTATTGAAAAGATCTCCACATTTTGTGATAAATTTCGTACAAAATTAAGGATAGTGTCAGACAGCATTTAGTACATAATTTTGTATGAACAAATTTAGTACATAATTTTGTATGAACAAATTTAGTACATAATTTTGTATGAACAAATTTAGTGCTAAATTTTGGAAAACCTGTTCTAAATAATATCATACTAAAAGTGTGCAGACGACTACTGCGCATTTTGGAGCAGTACAATGGCTGATAGAAGCGCTACGTGACAAGGAATTGCATGATTTGTGTTAACTCCTTGATTTTGTTATGATTAGATGAGATGATAATTGGTTGACAACAACACGCCTAACCTCAAACACTTTCATTAGTTGATGTTATCAGTTGTGTTCATCACTCTGCTCTCCTCTGCTTATGCTGTTCTTCTACTTATAGATTGAGAACAAACTTAAAAGAGCAGTACTACTAAACGAGTATGAGAAATATGATTGTTTATATGCTTTAAAAAGCAAGGCCTATAAAAACAGAAAAGCCACATAAGCTGCGTTGGATCAAATCAGAACGACTTTAGAACCAACCAGAGTTATAAGTCTATGGACCTCCACTAGAAGTTCTTTATTCAGCATATGGAACACACCCATGCCCTGGTCCCTCTCGCTGATCCATTTTCGGCACCAAATTCTTTTACGCTTTTGTTTACTTCATTTAATGTGGTATATGCTAATTACGGGATTGCTCGATTTTCTACAATTTTCTATTAAAGTAATAAAGGAATAATGTAGCAAGCCGCAAAATAAAGTGAGGTTAGAATGACAGTTAGAAGTTGACAGTTATAGTTTTTTCTACCAACTGCGCATGATTTCATACGAAATTTAATACAAAAGTTTCTGTACGTGTAAGACACGATTGCATCTAAATTCAGCAACGAATTTTTTCACGAAATTTGGTACCAAATTATGAACAAAATTTTGTATCGTCACAGACTGCCTTTAGGAACTGGCAAGTAAAGAGGCGTGACTGGCCTATTGTAGTATAGTACGATCACCCAATATATTCTAGTTGTTATTTTAATCTTATTACACATTTTTAGGTATTACGAGTAATATCTTCGACACCAGATATGCTATGATAAACAGATAGATGTCCGTGATACCTTGCAATACCTAGTAGCATATACTAATCAGAATAAAGCAAATTAATAAAACAAAGAAGGTGCTTCACTAAGGATGTAAACGTCCTTACGAATTTATTAGACTATAACACCGGCCCCTCTCGACCGCGTTTGGTTAATTCGATCAAGCAAATGATAGCTCACCCTTGTAAATGTTTGGCAACAAACGTATGATCATTGTATATATGTAGCTTAGTTCCTTTTTTCCTCCACTTCGATTTTTGCGCTATAGACAACGGTACAAGGTAATGCCTCTTCACTCCATTTTCAATGGTTTCCAATACCAATGTACTAGCTTCATTGATGTAAGTTCTTGTGGAAGCACTGCTCATGCCCGACGCTTCCGAAAGGCTCGATCTTCGTGAAGTTTCGTCAATCGAACGCTGACCTGGCACATTCAGTCGATAACCTTGGATAAAAAAAAACAGTATTTAAGAAATATTTAGAGTCACATTCGTAAATCACCTTTGAGGGCTGTTGGCTAGCACGTTTCATATCCGTCATATCTAAGCCGATGAGCACATCGTCCTTTAAAGGAGGTTTTAAAAAATGAAGCAATCTCTAAATACCTACTTAAACGAATAAGCATGTGATGTCATTTTCAAGGCAACTATGGAAATATTAGTTTTTTTTTTAAATACATAAAATTTGAAAATGTATGAGATATTATACATTTTTGAAATTAGAATTGAATACTCTATTCACCTGTGTAAACGTCCAGTATGGCGCCCATAACAAAATAAAGATGATGATTGATTTAAAGAGTTGAAACGTCATATTGAAATTTTAATTATGTGCAATTTATTTTGAAACCTCACCTCAAAATCGGGGAAAAATAAACACGGTATCTATTAGAGATGGCCGGTATTGTTATTTTCCAATATCTGTGATATCTGACCACGACTTTCCAATGATATTAGGGGTATACCGATATCCTGAGCAAAATACCGCGATGACATCGCATGGAGTCCACTACCATAGCATATAAGGCACGATATCCCTTGCAGACTATAGTAATCTTACGGTGGTGTACTATTCTCGACCTTAGCAACTAGCCGACATTGCCGTAAAGCACAGAGTTATCCCCTCATGCCTTTTCACGGTATTTGGTAACAATCGTGATTTGTGATTTAGAAATATCAGTTACTAAATCACAGTTCGTGAAATACTTACCACCACTAGTATCTATGTATGTATACACGGTGTTCAAGATAAGGATCATATGCATGGGGATTTCTGTAGAAGAAGCTTAAGGTAGAAAGACATAAAAAAGATGACCAAAGTTTAGTTTTTCCCAAAAACCTCAGAAAGTCATAAAATTTCCATTGACATGTGAATACGCCCCAAAGAACTCAGCTTTTTCCCAATTTAACCTAAAGTGTATCTCCGACACGTACTGAGATCGCCATGCTTAAGATCCTTATCTTGGATACCCTGTATATGTATGTATGTACATATGTATGTATGTAGAGTATATTGATACTCACTTTCATCATTTCGACTCCTATCAGCTGAAACAGATCTATTCATAGAATCATCCCTGCCCACATCATTTTCAGGGCCAGCTGATTTGGATCTATTTTTCGATTTGCCCAATCTTCTTTTGATCGTTCCGAAGAAATCTCGTCGTTTTCTAGGTCGACCTCTGACTTCTATATCTGTTGTTTGCTGATGCTGCTGTAGTATTGTAGCACTATCCGTCATAAAATCTCCAGGCTATAAAACCATATTTCAAAATGAACAATAACTTCATAAATCAAATGTCCCACATCAGCCAACTATGACTTTATGTATTTATTATGTATGATAATGAATGTGATTCTTGAACGAAATCATTTGGAAATATACAAAGTTTTCATATTCATAATTATGAACCTGAAATACAATTTTTAAGGATGCTAAATTGGGACATTTGACATTATATATAGAAGCCCATATAAACTGTTAGTGTTAATCTATACATATATCGTATCATCAGACATCAGACATGCCCATGCAGTGTTATTTCATTAAAAAAAATTAAACATGATTTCGTAACACCCACTGATTTTCTAATTATTTGATATACATCTAAAAATTGCGATTTTGTTTTACGTCACTGTTACCTGCAATTCATTTTACAGTTTTAAAACTTCTTAAAAAAAATATTTCTTTTTTCTTAAAGGTGTTGCGCTTTTATTGTCACGTTATCGTCGACTAAAAATGTGGGCCTAATTTTCATCACTGAAACTATAATAATGAAATTATTTTCAAACCTTTGAATTATCTTTGGGAGGCATGTCTTCATTTGTCTTCGAAGTACCTTTCAAGTTTTTTGCTTCACCATTTATAATGTCTACTTCTGATGTCTCGTCATTCGTCGCTACTTCTTCACCGTCCTTTTGATCCAGATTCAATTCAACTCTTTCAATTTCTTTCCAATTGCCGTTGCTCAACTCAACCTTTTGGTTAAAAGCAAAACACACTGCACACGACAAACAAAACCAGAAAAGATTCATGTGGTACTTTTTTCATACGACCTCGACATTAAAATTTGACCATGACTGGCCAATCCAAAAATTGCAAAGTGTACTCTTTTAACTCAAAACTCAAGCTTTTGATAATCTATGCTATCATCATCAGCAGCTAAAAACAAATTTAAAAATATCAACAACAAACAATTAAGTGATATTTTATTACTTACTAGGCGAGATTGTTGAATTGTTCTTAGAAGACAGTGGATAAGACCACATATCAAAACGATAAAAAAACTGGATGTATGAGGTTCATTTACAAAAATTATCCAAAAATCATACCTATGATTTTTAAAAAACCACTAACCGATTTGAAACAATTGAATACTAATTTTTTTAATAGTTTTACTAGGTGGTCTCATCCACTTACTTCTAAGAACAATTCAGCAAAAATCTCTCTGATATAGAAAGTAATAAAATATTACTTAATTGTTTGTTGTTGCTATTTTTAAATTTGTTTTTAGCTCCTGATGGTGATAGCTTAGACTATCGAAAGCTTGAGTTTTAAGATAATCTTTCAAATTTATTGTCATTAATTTGTACTTTGTAATTGGTTTAATTTGACCAGACAAGCAGGAAGTTCTAGCAGGATGAAAATCACATGATAAATTTATGGTGTTACAATAACAAGCAAACATGACTAATTTTGATTGTACTTTCATTCAGTTGTATGAAATGTACCAAATGTGGTCATATTTCATAATATTCTTACCTTCACGATTCGCTGGGAAGGTTGCTATAAAAAAGCAGTATGTTAGTGATAAAAAAGAGCATTTGGCGGCAAACCTTACCCTCTGTACACTATGTATAACCAATGAATTCTTATTCATATTCGAAAATGGCCTACTCCTGTCTAGATCTTTCGACGTTAGTTCTTGCATGTGGTTTCCATTTGAAAGCCCATCTAAAAGATAAAAGTTTTGACTTTATTCTTACTCCCTAAATGGTCCTTGTAACCGTGACAAGTTCAAACGTTGTTTCACGCTTTTTAGCAATCATCAGTGCGGTGTATTGTAGACATACAAACAGAAACCAAACAAGCGGGTATGGTCTACTGGAAAATACGGTATGTTGTGCGCAAAGAGGTGACAATACTGACAACTGCCACCTACAAATAGTTCGCCAAAACCTAATACATATTCAGCTCATACACTGACAATACAAAAGGTCCCCACGCCTCTGGCGGACACTGAATAAGGGTCGCACATCAAGTACGACCTGTCAATCAGCCGGAATACGACAAAAAATTGCTTAAATAGAAACTAGATCTATTAAATATGTTTGCTATCCGTGTATAACCAGTTGTCTACTGAGCTTTTCAGTTGAGCATACCGTCAATAGGCGCGTGACGTCACCAAAGCACGGCGTCCGGTACATCAGCACTAGTGAATAATATATGATTATTACAGCATATTTAACATACTCTACGTGATGTAAATGACGGATAATTCAGAAACGTGTTTTCGGAATATGAAGGCATCTCGGTGGAAAATATTAAAGTAGTTAACTATTTTCACCCTGATTTTCACTGATATTTCATTCAACATTGCGTACACATTTGAGTAATAAATTGATGTTATAAAAGCTTACAATATTTTGCTAAAAATAATAAATTCTTCAATGACATGTGACTATGATGATAGGCATATACAGGGTTATCCAAATTAAGTGTCCACCATTAGTAACTTTGTTATTAGTGAAAATACAAAGTTGTTTGAATTAGCAAACTAGTAGCATTTTTAACGCTGGTAAAAATGAGAAATAAAAAAAAACAATTGAGAGTCGTTATTTTGATTTTTTTCAGTAAATTAACATTTTTTTAAATGGAAACCCCTGTATATTATATTTTTTTCTGTTAAAGCATCAAATTTTAAACAAAAAAGCTTACAATAACTTTTCTCCTAGGTTACAAATTGTTGAAGTTATGGCCTCCAATCTGAAACAATTAAATTGTATCGACAAACTTTATTTTCAACATCAACTTATAATCTTACAAAATACAATAACAATTTTTTTTAAAGAAGATGCTCGAAAACACCACCTTGTTCTTCAATACATTTTTGGGCACGTTTTTCAACTGCTCGAACTGTCTTAAGTATGGTCCTACCATCTATCTGGGTTATCTTTTCCCTAACTGCAGTCTTTAACGCGTCAAGGTTATCGTACCTTCGCTTGTAAATTTGGTTCTTTAAGTAACCCCACAAGAAGTAATCAAGTGGGTTTAGATCTGGTGATCTGGGAGGCCACTGTATTGGGCCATTTGTTCCTATCCACTGATCATTAAAAGTAGTACTTAGAAAATGATAAGTACCTCTGGAGTTGTGGGCAGGTGCGCCATCTTGCTGAAAATGCAGATGATGTCTACTTATAAGATCCAATTCGTCTAAGAAATTAGTCAGAATTTCTGACATAAATTCCACATATCTTTCACCAGTTAGGGTTCCCTCATAAAAGAACGGGCCAACAATTTTTGAACCAATTATACCGCACCAAACGTTGAAACTGAAACGGACTTGTGGGCCTCTTGGATGTACTAACAAAAGATTTTCTCTTGACCAATAATGGTGGTTTTTTCTATTAAACATTCCAGAATTTGAAAAATTTGATTCATCTGTCCATAAAAGGTAACGAAAGTTATTTACATTTTGGCGACAGAAGCTAAGATACCAATGGCAAAAAACAAGTCTTCTCTCTGGATCCCCTGCCAAAAGCGTTTGAACTGGTCGGTACTTATACGGAATAAATTTGTATTTTTTTAAAATTCTTTGAACAGTACCAAATTAGAGTCCTTGAGAATATCTGCTATTGAATTCTCACGATAAGCTTCAAAATATCCAATAACTGCAATTTCCGTGGCCTCGCTTATTATGAATTCTTTTTTTGCCCTTGTTTTAGCAAAAACATTTTCGTTGCCCCTAAATTTTCGATAAAGTCTCAGAAAATATCGTTCATACGGTTGAATGCGAGCGGGATATAATTCACTGTAGGAGGATTTTCTGCACACTAAATAGCATTCTAACATATCACACTTTTCTTCATGGGAGAACATTTTTCTTTAAATTAATGACACAATAAAGCTTATAAACAAGTATTTACACTAATGTTTGACATTATTTGATTTTATCATTGTTTTCCAAAGCCTTCTAGTTGCGAGTATGTCCAGTTTAACAATTTGTCGCTTATCTTAATGCTGTCAAATCGCGAACGCCATGTTGTTTTCATAGCCGTCTTAATATTATAATACTGCAAATAATTAAAAATATTTATCGTTATTTGACTTTATTTTTGACTTTAGCGGAAAAGTCATTATGAACTTTTTTGTTTAAAATTTGATGCTTTAACAGAAAAAAATATAATATACAGGGGTTTCCATTTAAAAAAATGTTATTTTACTGAAAAAAATCAAAATAACGACTCTCAATTGTTTTTTTTTATTTCTCATTTTTACCAGCGTTAAAAATGCTACTAGTTTGCTAATTCAAACAACTTTGTATTTTCACTAATAACAAAGTTACTAATGGTGGACACTTAATTTGGATAACCCTGTATACTGGTACATACTTGAAAATTATATATCATCAGCTTACGATCACTAAATCACTACGAGGGATGGCAATGAGCCATCTTTTGCGCCCGTTTTCAAATACCGGGAACGAAAATACGTGTACAGTCGGACCTTTCGCGTAATTACCGGCAGAATTAGGAACGCAGCACTTGTAAGGCATTTTGATAAATTGCGAGACACAAATATAAGTAACTAACTATTCGTCATTTATTTGTCTGGGCGGTCCGTAGGACCTTTGCCCATTAGTCACTGTCTGATGTACGTTAGTCGAATCTGTCAGTCCTGGTTGCACAGAAACCAGACAAAGTCAAGGAAAAAGAGAAAGGGAAAGAGAAGAAAAAAGGAGAAGAGCAAAGAAAAACAGATATGCTTAGTTTAAGAGGAAACACCTAGGCTTTTTGACTTGGTACACGGATTAATTTTGAGGTGAACTAAACAAATTTTTGATTCGGTTTTGTGAGAGTGTAATTTTGAGTTTACTAAAGATTCACATTAACTTTTGATTACAGTGCGAGCCGTGGCCTTGAATGTTTACGAACTTGCTCCACTGTGTAGTCCACTGAGTCACGCAACAGAGGGTTGCTGTGCGATTCCGCTTGACTATAACGTCGCTGCGCCTGAAGTTTTACATAGTCCCTCAAGTAAGGAATGTCAAGGTCTCTGTGTAGTGTCTCATTTGAGACATACCATGGAGCAAATTGTCCGCAAAGTTCTGCTTTGCAGTACTTGAAGACTTTGCATGTGTGTCTTGACAAGAAAACACCAAGCCGCACATGCATAAGTAATGGCTGGTCTAATAATCATTTTATATAGTCGAACTTTGTTTATCAAACTCAATTTGGAGGATCTACATAACAAAGGATATAGTTGCCGAAACGCAATTTGGAATTTTGTTTTTATGGATGCTATATGTTTCTGCCAGGTCATGCCTTTATCAAGGGTGACACCGAGATACTTGGCAGAATTTGTCCATGGTACACGATTTCCGTCTACAGAAACCTCTGCTGGGGGGCCGCGACGTTTTTTGGTACAATAAATAGCCTGCGTTTTCGAATGATTAATTTTTATCAGCCACCGTTCCGCCCACTCTAGAACTTCGTCCATCGCATTCTGCAACCCATCGTGAACCAGATCACCAGTACACGACTGGGCGACAAGTGCAGTGTCGTCAGCATAGAGGTAGACTTCACAGTTGCTGGGGGAAGGGACATCATGGATGAAAAGCGAGTGAAGAATTGGTCCTAGGACCGAACCCTGAGGAACACCGGCCCGTACTGGCGGTGTTGTTGACAAAACATTGTTAATTTTGATCCGAAACTTCCTTCCTTCAAGAAAGGATTTCAGTAATTTTAGAAGCCAAAAAGGAAAACCCTTTTGGATTAGTTTATAGAGGAGGCCCGCGTGCCACACCTTGTCAAAGGCTTTTGAGACATCCAAAAGCAAGATGCCAGTACTCATGCTAAGGGTGAACCCTCTGGTTACATGCTCCACCAGCCTGACTGCCTGTAGCTCGGTGCTATGCTCGGACCGAAAACCGAATTGGAGGTCAGGAATCACATGGTGATTTGACGAAAAATTCTCAAGGTGACGATAAATCACCTTTTCGGCGAGCATAGAAGGAGCTGACAGCAGACTTATGGGACGGTAATCCTGAGGAAATATCGAACCCACCTTCTTTGGAATCTTGATGACCTCAGCAGTCTTCCACCCAGCAGAGAAGTACTGGATTTTGAGCGTCGCATTGATTATTGTCACCAAGTATGTCAGGGCTTTCGGCGAGAGCAGCTTCAACGCCTTGATGGTGATTTGATCCTCCACAGGTGCTTTACGCATCTTGAGGTCTTTATTATGACTTAGTAACTCCGCTGGTGTGCAAAGTGGAAACTCGGAGGGTTCCGCTAATGTGCTATGTGGAGCCTCAGACGAATCTTCTGAAGAAGAACCATCTGAAGAGGATTCAGTGCCTCCGCTGACGCCGTTGGCCCTAAAATATCTCCTGACGGATCGTACGATGTGCTGTTCCTCGTCGAGGTCATTATCGAGATCATAGTTGGGAGAGAACTGTTTTTCCATGGCATCAGCGAAAACCTCGACCTTATCCTCCGTTCTGAAGACTATGCCTTCAGGACCGTGGATGTGTGGGAGTTGTTCTCGCTTTCCGTTTCTGAGTGACTTTGCGACCCTCCAGAGAGGAATACTTGAATCAAGCATTCCCGCCAGAAAGTCGCTCCATTGCTCGTTGCGGAGTTCGTGCAGTGCGTTTCTCACTTCATGGACAAGATTTGTAGCCCTACGAATGTCATCAGGATGACAAGACCTTTTTGCCTGCTTAATAGCGG